GGCTGCTCCTAACTATGACGTTTAGTCTGTTCTTCCAGGTGGTAGAAGCGTAGTTCGCCAAGTACCCTAAAGCACGGAGGGGTTACCTAGGTATGTCTCCTGGAGAGTGATTCAATATCTCCAGCGTCAGCTTACCTTGAAGCCACCGCACTAGTGGCTTAGTACGGTACTAAGAGAGGGTCCCTTGTTCTGGAAATGGTCACCAGTAACTGACAAGGAATCCTCCGTTCCTTGGTGGTGGTGTTGGGCTGGGCGGATGGAGACTCCATAACGGAGTACATACCCGCCTACGCACATAACTTCAGCTGCACTGTCCACTCCATTGTCTATCGGTCCGGTGTGTGGTGCAGTTAGACTTGTCATAATACATTATTGGTGCCAATTACCCCGTACCGAAGTCGCTGGCCATTGGCCTGGCACAAGTCTGATACAGATCCTGTGCCTTAGTTTGGCCCCCCCACTCCGGGCGGTCTCGAGTTTTCTGAGCAGATTTTGTGTTGCCTTGACCTGGATGTTGTCATCTCCCTTCCCTTAGCCGAGCTTCCCGTTGATTTTCTTTTTCCGCCCACTTTCTTTCCACACCGATGATGCTACTAGGGTTTATGGAGTGGCGATGTACCCAACTTTGCGAGAAATGTATGTACGCGGTCGATGGCTATGAAACATGTGCTCCACCATGCACATTCAGAAGGCAGCGAGGGCTAGATTTGAGGCATTATTAACTTCATTCTCGTCGTTATCAGGGCAAACCGGTCGGTCAGGTATCGTTACTATAACCGGTAATCTTGAGGCAACTGAGAAGTTCCGAATGATATGTAGAACACCAGAAGTAGTAATTAGACATGAATGATACTCCTATGATTTCTTCCCTTTCCTATTTCATAATATATATATTCAACATCACAGGCTAGACCGGTGTTATATTCCCTTGTCTGGCTTTGATTGATGGTCCCAGCTGAGTCATCGTCGCCTCATGACTGAGGGTGTATGAAAGGGGAGATTAATTACCTATTATTGAAGCGGTTGGTTAGGAACAAGTAGGGTGGTACTGTACCTAAGAATAAAGGATGGCGGGATAAGCGCCCGGCAAGGCCGAAGGATCGATCTATGACGAGGGAAAGAGAGAAACGGAAGATGGCCGCGTCCGTTGTGATCTCTCTCCTTGTCAAATCATGTCAAAGGACCCGAGAATGGACGTATGGATTCGCAATATCGAGGAGTAAGACACTACCTTACTGTACCAAAGCAACTGTCCCCGTCTCTGGAACCTTAAGGGTAAAAAAAACCAGGTCAAGGCTGAAAGGATGCGAAAGGAAGGACAAGGGCTCTGGAACATGTCCACATTATTGTAACCCTTGCGTAACAGCGTTGTAACTTGTGACGCGTTGGAAACGGTGAACTTGTGGGGACAATCAACGGGGGGTAGACTCGAAGGGGGGACGCTGAGGAGTAAAAAGCCTAGGAAGAGGGGGGTCAAAAATGGGCAATGGAGTGCAGTCGCAGGGGGCTTTTCTTGACGATCGGGTCGGATCGTGGGTCAAAAGTGTATGTATGTATGTACCTCTCTCTCTGCCTTAGCCATCAAAACCCATGTCCAATACGGGCTCTATCGTACTCCGTAATACACCGCATTCTGTCGTTGTCCTGTGCTTCTGCCCCCCCCCTTCTCTTCTCTTAAGTTCTTGAGTAAGGGTAGGTGAGGTCCGGAGGTATGTCCACTTGGTATGCTCATCACCGGTTCGGTCGTCAATAGATGAATTACTTATTAGTCAAGAAACGATGATCTCGTTAGTTGGTCTCGGTCTGGGTCCTGGCTGTGCTCATACTATGAATGAGTCGATTACAGAAAGTATCCCAATGAAATGGGACTAGTCCAGAGTAGGATTTGAAAGAAGGTTTGCCAATGTAACTGATGACGGAGAAGAGACCAAGAAATCAGGCCCGGAAGAGGAGTTTACAAGGGTACATACCTTAGTAGAGGATAGTCTTTGTAGGTACGTGCATTCATACAGTAGTGTCAGGACGGAGTCAGTAGTAGGTGAGTACAGAGTACAATACTCGGTACGGAGGCAGGAGGCAAAGGGTAAATACTAAATAAGGTCAAGGTCGTAGTATTGTACGGATACCATACGTAATCTCCCCGTTTTAGCCCCAGACTTAGTCAGGTATGGGGCTCTCTTTCTCTCACACGGGCCCTACTGGAGTTTGGGTTAGATTCGGCATGTCCCAGACCACTGCTTTTAGCTGTCTTTTTTTCTGGTTCCTTCGTTTTCCCTGCCGAGTTCCAGTTCCCTGCCTGGCCCGCCAATCACTTTGCACTGTAGACGATTCCCTTTTGGAGTCAACTTCCAAACTAAAACCCAAACCAAACTAAAACTCATTCATTTTATCGCCAATAATGGGTCTGATCATCCACCGTCAACATTATTCAATACTCTTGGTTCCCCACCACGACCACCATTCGTTCACTACCAATAACCCAATACCATGGAACCCGAGGAGTCCAAAGTGTCTGGGTCACAGACGGATTGTCGTTCCAGGTCCCCATCTTTCCAAATGATGACCATGTGAGGGTACAAAATGAAGATTTTAAATTAAACAAAAAAAAAAAATTCATCCAAATTAAATTCCCTACAGCCACCACCGAGTCAAAGTGGAGCAAACAACCGTGTGGCATGGGCACATCTGAATCATCACTTCTCTTCCTTGCCTTCCATCCTTTCTTGAATACCCACCGGCTAAACCCCTTTCGATGGATGTCAACGTTGTCGGGTGTCATGCCAAATTCCCAACATGCGTCCACTATGATCCTTTTCAGTAATGGGATCGTGGAACTGGGGCGGATGGTAGATCAAGCAATGCGTTCCACTTGTATTACTGATTTCTTTTTTTCCCTTTCTTTTATTTTATTATTTTCTTTTTCTTTTTCGATTTCCGTTTTTAATTTCCATCTTACTGACCGAGGGATAATTAAGTGTTTGAACTATTTGGGTAAGAAGTTACTTTAACTACTACCTGCCCTTTAGTTCCCCATACATATACATACATGCAATCATCCTTCCCTCCATCCATCCTATGGATTGACTTCCCCGTACCTTACCTCAAAGCCTTGTGACCCTCACACCCCTGTGTCATCTTGAATGGAAAAGTCCCGATCTTTAATACAGATCCTTTGATCCTTTGCATATTGCAGTCCTGCAGTCACCCATGGGGCTTATCCGCACTTGATACTCCATACATATAAGCCTACCAACCCTTTCCATCACAAGTCTCTCTTTCATCCTTCCACTTCATACAAATATGTATGTTCACATCGACCATCTCAACCCTCACTCCCAAAACTGATTATCTCTCCACTAGCCTTTCTGTTCTTCCAACACACTGTGACTATCCATCTTCTACTTCTTTCAATGGCCAATTACATCCAGCCCCAAGCCCCTCAACCGGGATCACACTGGATCCAGGCAGATCAGCCATGTGTACCATCTTCCAGCTTCCGTGACATGATGTATGCTTTCCCCAGACCGAGGCATACCGGTCGAGTGATGAAGCCTCGGAGTGCGGGCAACAGTCCCTCATCTGCTGGCAGATGGAGGGCAGCGGTATCACATGGGTCGCCAATCTACCAACCAGTCCAAGCCCAGCCGTATCAGACTCAGGTCAATCCTGCTCTCCTGGCTTCCGCACTGAGGAGGAGGCGAGCAACAGCAACTCGCCCACTCAGTTGGCACCCAGCATCACTAGAAACGGCTGCGTATTCGTCCCCACCATACTTTCAAACAACAGCTGCAGAGAACCTTGCAGTCATGGCTCCGTCTACTCAGCCCATGGGCCCAGCCCCGACAACACTCGCAGATGGAAGTATATATGCCTCTCCGGAGTTTTCGGCTCCAACAGAAGCTTTTGTTTTCACTGCCATGCCGGACCCTGCCTCGATGCAACAGTCTTTCCTAGACATGAGCGGCTCCCAGATCGACCCGGTCACGTGGGATAGCAATGCACCCAACATGACTACCATGGCTCAACCAATGTCCGATAGCTGGCCCTTCGACATGATGTCTATGAACAATAGTATCCCATCGGCAGATGTTGAAGCCTCGGGATATGCAAGTGCACCATCGTCGGGCTACTTGACTGGTCCATCCACCCCCGACTTCCTCCCCATTCAGCATCCAGACAGCACCTCCAAGTCCCTGCACGAATCGACCTCCGATGAGCAACCTGGGGATGAACTAGTTGGAATGGGCCTTTACAGTCACCCTGATCCTTTCCTGGAGACCTCATTCCATGAGGTGTCTGGCAAGGGTCTCAAGCTGGAGGAGACTTTCACTCCCTCGTCAGACGATGAAGCAGACGACAGTAAAGATGCCGAGAGTGAAGATGACAACCAAGAGACCACGGAACAAGCCAGTGCCTCCAGCTCTGCTTCAATCCAGAAACAGCCGGCCAACCCAACGGCCAACATGATGCACAAGTCATTCTTCTTTGACGATGACGACATCGAACAGCAGACCATGTCTGCTCCCCAGCAGCTCTTCAACCTAGGAAGTCAGCCTTGCATGAATTATGGATACGGATGGATCTAACCGTCCTGATGACACTTGACTCGTTTCTTTCTTTCCTTGTTATTTTCACTGTATAAATCTTTTCTATGACTTATTGCATAGCGTGGCGTTTTGGCTTTGTGGCGTTTTCCATGTACGAAAGGATACCCAGTGGGTGCGGGCTTGATTAACTATCATCGAAACACATGTATTAGACATCATCAATTTAGTGTCGCAGTAAATGAGCGTCACATTGGCACACTCTCTTCACTCAGTTCGCAGTATTCAACATAAAGTAGACAATAAAGTAGGGCACTCAGGCAGAACTCCGGGCCGGAAAAACCAGAAACTCCGAGCACAAAAAGTCCAAATACCCATGATCATAATATCCAAGACCCCCAAATTTAAATACAAAACCAGCCTCATCTAATAGAGGCCGATAATATAAACCCCAAAATGTCAAAAGTAATATTCACACCATGGAAAGAACAGTCGGAATTACACTCGGTGCGGGATCACTTCTACCCTCCGCTGACGTTCGATGGACCGGACATGCGGTCTAGAGCCTGCGCTACGGTATATATATGGTACAATCCGACACGATGAAAACGATGAGGTACTAATTCTTGTACAAAGGTTGCGGCTTGGAAGTTGAGGGGCAATTTGCCCCATCCTGTGGAGGCTACGGCTTTGCTAACGGATGCTATTTTGCATGATGATGCGAAGAAAAACTCGATATTTTCGATACGGGCGACGTATTCGGCGGCGTTTTGTCGGTGGGTTCTTCCTTTTTCCCCAAGAAATTTTTCCTATCTTTAAAAATACTTTTTGAGGATGTAAAAGGGGTTGAGGTTCTAATTGAACATAGGTTCGTAACGGGTCTCGTAGACTCCAAACTCCACGGTCAACGCAAGACTATGTTCCAGCGTGCTCTTGACCTAGGCCTACCTGCCTCATTCGTCGAGTTGCGACATGAAGCAACTCACCGTGAACTGCCGTCGTTGACGGTCCTCCGGAATGCCGCGCAACGGTCTCTCGAATGGCTCTGGGATTACTACTGGGCCAAGATTGATCTGAGCGCCGGTTTTGTACCGGACCGTGCCGACGATGATATCGAGCCTGTTAAAACTGCTGTCAGGGCTTGTCTGGCACAAGTGACGGGTGAGACAGGTGCGTCGGAACCGCCGCGGAAGAAGAGGAGAGTCCAGGTTTTGTCTGGTGTTGCAACGCAGTTGGTCTCAGTGTGTAACAGCTCTGCAAAGGGAACTGCTGCTGTTTCGGGGGTTTTGGTAGAGGATGAGGTCTTGGTTTCTGGAGGGAGGAAGTATGTTAATTTCTTTTTTCCGAGGAATTTATTTTGGGGTTTGTGTGCTGACTATTCTTCGTTTACTAGGCTTGGAACATCTTTGGATGATGAGTTTTCCAGGTGGGATTATTTCTTGCAGGCCATCGTTGAGGGATTTCCTGCTTTCTTGACGGCGCTCGTGGAGGCTATGGTCGATGTGCTGGCGTTTGCTAGATCGGCTACGAAGGAGGATGCTCGTTGTGAAGGAGTTTATATGTGGCTGGACCATATTTTATGCTCGTCACAGTGGGCGTCTAAGAGGCGTTTGCTCTCGTTAGCCTATGCCCTCTCTGCATGTGAGCAGAACGCAAATCACTGGACAGATATGCTCAAGGAGAGGATACAAGATGCGGACAATGGCTTGTCTGGTAGTCCTGGGGGTCAAAAGCGATCTGGAAAGGATACGAATACACCCCAAAGTTTACACACAGGGACAAGTCATGATTTGGATAGCCTAAAGGACATGGGATGGGAGGTGGTAGATACATGGGATAGTCGACCGTTAGGTATAGTCTAACTGGGGATATGGCTACGACTCGACTGTTACACCTCAAATATAATATACTTTTGATTGACAAGATTTTTCAGTATGTCTGCTTGCAGCCAGCTACGATCAAATATAGTGATCTACAGTGAAGCCTGGCGTATTCTCGATACCTCCTGAGAGGAATTGTAGCCGTTGATGCTGTGGAGCTACGTCATAGCCGCGACCTACCCAATGCGGCGTGAACCTCAACTAAAAACGCCGCTCAAGCTGCGACCTCGATGGAACCTCAGCGATAGCTCCCCAACTTATGAGCAGACAAATTAAAAATTTGAGTTTGGCTGTTGGATCATGGATCAGGGCCAGTTTAGGGATCATGTTGTACGGTTGTCGATTTGCAGATTATATCGGAACCGTAGCTAACTTGTCTCAAGGGCCATGGAGGGGCAGGTGGAGATACGGACTCCCACAAATTAGAGGTATCTTTGACGGCACTTTGGCTACCTGTTGCACTATTAACATCGCGATGTTTCTTTCACTAGATTGTGCTTACCCCCGGTTGCAGTCACCGCCGCAAGTCGTCCCTAGTCATGGCGAATGAGCCAGGCAAGCCTCGCCTTGACCGCGCTGATGATAAGACGGCCTGCTTCGTACATTCCCTGATCGCAGGTGAATGGGTTTGTCCCCCGAAGGACACACAGATCGCGCCTGATGCGCTGGACGACACAATTGGTTTCGACGATACCGCTGTAGATACCGATGGCGTTACCGTTACTGATATGGACGACTGGACGCCAAAGCAATCCGAGACCATCGTGGAGTCCCGGCAGTTGACGAAAAAGCAGTTGTCTGATATGGCATGGAATGTGCGAAAGCTGTCGAAAAAGCTGGATAGCATCAAACTCAAGCTTTCTGTCAAAAATGTCTTTGTGGTGACTAAAGCGGGCGATGATAGCGTGATTGCTTTTACGAGGAAGGTCACGCAATGGTTATTGTCCAAAGATCGTGATACGGAGTATAATGTCTATGTGGAGAGGCGACTGGAGGCGGCTGCAGATTTCGGCGCTCCTCAATTATTGCAGGATGAACCTTCCGCAGCAGATCGGCTCAAGTTCTGGGATAATAAGTTTGTCTACGAGAATGCCTATCTCTTTGACTTCGTCATTACACTGGGTGGTGATGGGACGGTTCTTTATACGAGCTGGCTCTTCCAGCAAGTAGTACCGCCGGTCCTCTCTTTCTCACTGGGATCGTTGGGATTCCTAACCAAGTTCGATTTTAATGACTACCAGAAGACGCTCAGGTCCGCATTTAAAGACGGCGTTGCCGTTAGCTTGAGGTTACGATTTGAATGCACAGTTATGAGGAGTAATAGGCGAGAGGATGGGTCATTAACGCATTCGAAGAAACGAGATCTGGTAGAAGAGCTGATTGGCGAAGAAATGGAAGGCACGTTAACACACAAGCCGGAAAAGGTCGTTCAAATTCTGAATGATGTCGTCCTCGACCGGGGGCCGAATCCCAGTATGTCTACAGTCTCTTGCTGCATGGTTCCATAATATCCTGCTAACGACTGCTCAGCAATGTCCTCCCTTGAATTGTTCGGCGACGATGAACATTTCACCACTCTGCTTGCAGACGGTGTCTGTATTGCTACACCCACGGGCTCAACGGCTTACAACCTAGCCGCTGGAGGATCTCTATGCCACCCTGACAACCCTGTTATCTTGGTCACAGCAATCTGCGCACATACACTATCTTTCCGACCGATCATACTACCAGACACCATCGTTCTAAGAATGGGCGTGCCCTATGATGCACGCACCAGCTCGTGGGCAAGTTTCGATGGTCGAGAAAGGTGAGTGTATCCCGAGCTATTCCATCATGCAAGAAGTGGAAATTAACATCAGCGACAGAGTTGAATTGCACCCAGGTGACTACGTGACTGTTTCCGCCTCACGGTATCCATTCGCAAACGTGTTACCGCAAGACCGGCGCAACAATGATTGGGTCCACAGTATCTCAAAGACATTAAACTGGAATTCAAGACAAAAGCAAAAAGCTCTCAAGTAAAGATTGAAAAGTTTAGCCTGGTAGCTTTTGCATGGGAAATAGATGATGGTGATTACCTTGATAGGGGGTTCTGTTTGTGGCGTCTGTTTTAAGGGGGTTTGCATATAGTTCATGGCCTGAGATCTTAATGTATGTACGTTTTGGTGATGAAGCATACGAAAACTATATATTTCATCGGTATCATACGCACTGCCGCTTTTGAACATAGATATAGGTATGATGTCCTGGAATTGAAGCTCAACGAATCCTATGAATAATAGAAAACCAATGGAGCATTCGATTTCGTATGCTGTGGAGGTGTGTATCAATTTTTGCTATTCTCTAGAAGCTTCGTATGGGTCGGCAGGTTTCCCGGGCAGCCTGAGGCCGACTATAAAAAGCCCTCCCCTTCCGAAATTTTTTTTCCTTCATACTCACAACTTCACGACAACCACCACAGTGGTTTTTAACTGGCGTCTAATGTGACTTTCAGTCCAACCTTGACTGGCTATAATTTATAGCGCTGTCATGCTATTCGACAATCTCCACGCAACTTCAAATTGTTCGCACTAACTAGGTGAGTTATCAATTTTTTTTCTCTTGTGTATCTTCAATCGACCAAAGGCCTTCGGGCTATTATGATGAAAATTTTTCCCACATTCGCAGTTTCCACGCTAGCCGTCGCTATGAACCCATATCAGACGTGCTCTGTGCGCAATACTTCCTTGGATGTCTGACATTTTTGGCCATTGATTTGATATGTTTGAGCATCGATTGCGTTACGAGATAGTCGCTAACGACATATGCTTAGTACAGGTAGCTCTTGATCAATTGATATGGACAACCCCTTCTATACTTTAACTGGAAGGGTCTCATCAGAAGGCCTTGGAGTGAAGGATTTGATTGTTCCGAAGTTGCTAAGACTTCTTAAGGACAATATCTATCTAGATTATCAATGAAGAATTCAATTTGCTTTATGAAACTATCTCTTGCATACCCCGTGTAGACGTCCTTTTTCGTAGTTGTGGAGGGTTCTGCTACTGTAGGGTTCGTAGTCCACGATATCTTGCAAAGTTCGCCTGGTCCTTTGAAACTGCGTTGCGTGTCTGTGTGTCCCGCCGTAAGGACTCTAAACCGCCCGATGCGGAGGAACAACAACCCACCGACGGGTGTAAGTTATATGGACCAGCTATTCCAGTGCATGTGCGGTTCTCTTTTGATCTCGGTCCCTGTGGAATTGGAATTAGTTGATACCCTCTATCATCAACAAGTTCAAGTTAATCACCATGAAGCAATATCCATAACTTGATTTAACCTCCGTCAATTACTACTGCAATCTATCAAACACCTACGAAGTCATTCCAACATGGCACACCCAACCCGACATTCCGCTATGATGTCCGTCAGTAACAGCGCTCCAAGCCAGGCAAACGCTAGCGACAAGCAGCAGCCACCGCAGCAGATTCAGCACATCGCAAACACCGGGTTGCGCGTCCCGTCAAACCGGAAAACCATCTATGACAGACATCTGAACCGCAGTCGAACTGCGGAACTCAGCCGGGCAAGTTTCGCCTTTCTCTTCGCGGAGATGGTCACATATGCCCAGAGGAGAGTAACGGGCATTCAGGATCTGGAGAAACGGTAAGTTCCATGGACATGCTGTCTTGAAGCCCGTTCCTGTACTGAACAAGCTCCAGTTTAAACGAACAAGGATACCCCCTGGGGCTCCGGCTTCTTGATCTACTCTACTACCGAACGATATCCAGCTCAACCTCATCATCTCTATCTAGCTCGTCGACTTCTGCCGCTCCACCTAATCGACCCCTCCGTATCCTGGCCCTGCTCCATCTCATCCACGGTCCCCTCTGGCGACTCCTTTTCAATCGCCCGGCAGATGCTCTCGAGCACTCCGTATCCCCTGACACACCCAACGAATATATGATTACGGATAATGACCCGCTTGTAAACACATACATCAGTGTACCCAAGGAAATGAGCATGCTTAATTGTGCAGCTTTCGTGGCGGGAATCATTGAAGGCGTCTGTGACGGCTGTGGCTTCGAGGCCAAGGTTACGGCTCACAATCAACCAACGGAGATGTGGCCTGGTCGGACGATCTTCTTAGTGCGCTTTGGGGAGAGCGTTATGGAGAGGGAGAAGGTATTGGAGAGGGCGGGCATTAAATAAACTCGCCGCAATACACGACCCGTATTAGGACAGTGATCCTTTGACTAATTGCTACTTCTGGCTGGCTCTTGTGATCAATTTGGACGTCGGCTATGGTAGAGGGTGGTAAGGTTATCAATCCGTCGACCATGCTTGGTGTTAGGGTCTACTATTCGACGTTTGGAACGGGACAGGGGACATACCCAATGCGGTCAACTACGGCTACGGCGTTCATGTTTATACAGAGGGAAGATTTTTGAGAAAGCTGGTGACATCGTGCTACACATTTGTGCCTAAGCAGATGCCCAATTGATCATTTGTCCAAGTTGCGACCAGAAGGCAACCCGGTATAATTTATGTCACCCCTGGGGAGGCCTCATTAAATACAGGAGGAAAGGCAAAAAAAAAACATTGGTTTCTCAATGCAAAGCGTCATAACCCTAACCCGCCCATGCTTTCAAGATACCCACAACGCCAATAGGAATAAAATGATTACATTTGCACTTTTCTGTTGCTTCTTTACGAAACACTTCTCATCCGTCTGCGCTTTTCGCGATCGTCATACGGAGAAGGGCTCCGTTTCCTGGGATTGCTCGAGTCAGGGCGGTGCCGATCTCTCGAACGGTCCCGACCGGGACTTTCACGACGCTCCCTTCTGTCAGGTCGTCCGCCCCGTCTTGGTGAGTATGATCTAGATCTCGACCTCCGTCTCTCCCGCACCGGACCAGCATTGGCTCCCGTAGGCCCCTTAGGTCGGTCATCCGGCCGATCTGGCAGGAATCGTTCATCTCTGACGCCGACCGGAGCGTCGTGACGACGTCTATTCTGAAAGCCATCACCGAAGCGCCCTGTATCTTCCGTTCTCAGATCCCGGTATCGTGTCCGACCCTTCTTTCCAAGTTTTGTCATATCTCGAATCTGCATGTACTCAGGCAAAGTTTCGCGTGATACATCGTCCACAAATCTGGCACCCATGAGCTCTCTCCGATCCAACCCTTCCTTCTCCAGGTCGTCGCGGAAGAAGGCACCCTTGTGAAAGTAGCGCTGCATAAATCCTCCCTGTCCTCGAGTAGCTTCCTTCTCTTCTTGCTGCTTGGCAATAAATTCGCGGTCTTCGCGTTCACGCTCCTCCGCTGTCAAGTTCCGACGACGCTCGACCTCTTCGCGTTCCTTCTCGGTGGCCTCGATTGCCTCACGCTCTCGCTTGACGCGCTTGAGTTCGCGGAGTTTCCAGGCGGCATATTCGGCTTCGGGGTCTACTCCATCCTTGTCGTCAAGACCACTTTCCTCAACTGCCTCTAATTCATCGTCATCCCATTGCTTGTTTGCAGCGCTCCGGGCGATTGCATCCTTCTCCAATTGCTCGCGCACCAACATATCGGCCTTTTCTTGTCGTTGCGCTCTGCGGGCCTCTGTCTCTGCCGCTGAATCCGCAGCGGTTGTTTTAGGTGCTGCTCCCTGCCCGCTCTGTGTCTGATTTGCTGCATTGTTGCGCTTGTCCTTTTTGATAAATGTAGGTCGTAGAAGAACCCTCCTCGGCGTCTCGTCCTCCGAACTACTCTCTTCTTCGGAGCTCTCTTCCTCCTCTTCCTCTTCTTCCTCACTTTCCTCTTTGCTCACCGGGCCACTCGCTGCCTGAACAGGAGCTGCAGCCGCAGCACCCCCTTTGTCGCCAGCAACACGAGGGGCGGGTTTCGACTCTTCGTCCTCTTCCTCAGTAACGAAGCCCTCCTCATCCTCATCCTCTTCTATTTGCACATTCTTCACCCCCTTAGTAATGTTCCCACCGGGGAAAGAGGTCGCCTTCGGCGCCTGCACTCGCTGCCTCCGCTGTTGTTCCAACCTGCGCCGCTCCTGCTCTTTGATCTGTTCTTCCTCATCTTCCTCGTCTTCCTCCTCCGATGACGAGGGCTCTTCGGCAATCGGTTTTCCAGGTCGGTAACGGCTAGGTTTGAGGGGGTTTGCGGTCATCCCGCGGTGTTGGGAAGGTAGCGGAGGTGGCATGGTGATTTGATCTGGAATCAGCGGGAAATCGAAAACTGAAACAAATGAAACTTGATTATGGTAGATAGGCCACCGCGATCATATTACACTCGTCGGCGAGGGAAGGAACACGGAAATGGTGACTTTTACTTCGAACCGCCGCGGAAGTATCTGATTGACGTACCGGGCAAGCTTTCGGCGGAGATAAAAAGAATGGATCACGTGAGCACGTGTTACAGCGCGGGTGTCCACGTCTGTACGTACAAGTACCTCAGGCTTGTATGGGCTATTTTGCAAGAAAAGATATCAAAGACCACATAGTACAAGGAGGGTTTAGTTAATCAACCATTCTATTAATAGGATATGTGGGTCACAACTGCAATAACATACATACATACATACATGATACAACCAAGGACAATATACTACGTAACCCAGCTGAGAGACCTTGCCATGTACGGTATACCCTCTCAATCCTTGCTCGTGTTCACGTCATTACTGACAAAAGGTCAAATCACGGGCAGCCATCCCATATCGCGCGCTTCGAGTACGCATCCATGAAATCGAGGCCCGTCCCATTGAGTTCCCATACATTTCAGAAGCCTACATTGTCCCAGCCAGCTTCCATTACATGCGCCAAGTTGCTGCCGTAATCCGCCCGCAGACTTCAAAGGGCACCGTAAGTATATCACAGATTCGAGTTGATCTGCAAGACAAGCTGCACCGATATAAACTGCCGACGCTCTTGCGTACCTTGCACGACAATGAATAAGTCCTGGAAACCACGTCAGGCAAACCCCTGCCAAGGAAGATTGGGGAGAAATATTTCTCGTCACCGGAAGAACCGCCATTGCCTACGGGAGTCGAGTTTTGTGATACGGTCATTGGGACAGAAAAAACTTCCCGAAGGGCGTGAGATTGGGGTGGCATGGTGTGAGACCTGAAAGAGGTTTAAGATAGTCTAACGAGGATATTCTAGAAAGATGACAAAATGGCACGTGTTGGTTGCTTCGGTACCGCCAGTTCTAACACCATGATTTACCTTTGCTTAGGTTGGCGTCGCTAGGGATTGGAAGCTTTCAGTCTTGCTCGGAAGTCTCCATTTGCCTCCAACGCTGCCCTTTCCAATATAGAATCCATAAAGCGGGCGAAGCAAGGAACCACAACCCAGCGAGGAAGGTCCCTACCCAGCCAATGCCGATGGCATCGATCAATGGCACCACCGCCGCAACGGCTCCTGCTGCCGTGAGGTGCTTGACAGTATTCATAGCGGCCATTGCAGCGGCGGGACGATAGGCATTAAGGTCAATCGCCAGCGTGGTTATGCTGTTATTGACCCCGGTTGTTGCATTGCCAAAGAGAAATAACAAAACCAGGGGGCCGGCCAGATGCACGTCATAATACATGATCCAACTGTAGCCAATCACACAGAGGCATGAAAGATATAAAAATGGCAGTGCTAGCTCCAAGCGGACTTTTTCTAGCGGCATGCGCCGGAGTTGTCCTTGGGTTTGCTGATTTGATCGAAGTTTCTCTCCGATTTTATGCGCATGACGCTTGAAATTCCGATCAACCAACGTTCCAACATTCCAGCGGGCTAGAATGCCCCCTGCCGTATGGGGAAGATAGCACAGGCCAATTTGCAAAGGGTTGAGTCTGTACTTCCTCTCCAGGAGAACGGGGAGACTACTCAATATCGCCGAGGTCCCGCAGAAGCAGAGTGCGTTGCAAAGAACAAGAAGGCTAATATGGCGGTCTAGTAGGATTCCCAACGTAGCAAGAATCCCTGGCCGGCGTCTGGTGATCACCCGTGTCTCATAGTCTGGGACCTGCTGGCTGTCCTGGTGGAGAAACTGTAGGGCACACCGGTTCCAAGGCTGGGGAGACACACTGCCGTTGCCCACTATGGCTCGACAAGTCTCACGAAGGAATAACATGATAACGCAGAACATGACCCCTGAAGAGATACAAAGGAACCAGAAGATACTTCGCCATCCAAGAAATTGTGTCAAAATGCCTCCAAGTGTTGGCCCGATCGCCGGGCCGATGGTCATCCCAAGAGAGGAATAGAACATGTATCTGCCTCGCTCTGCCCGGGGAACCACGTCGGCCACAGAGGCGCTTGAAATGAGTGATATATTACTGCTGCCCAAAGCTTGGAAGCAACGTAAAACGAGTAGAGCTGCATAGCTGCTCTGAAGTGCTAGTCCAATATTACTGCCGATAAAGATGAGTACGGAGGCCAGAAGGACTGGTCGACGTCCATTTTGATCGGAGAAACTGGCAGTTAGCACGGGCGCAACGCCTTGGACAATCTGCCGATATTAGCTGCGACGATTGAAAAGGGAGTTGAATAGATCTATCTACCTTGAAAGAAGTTATCGTCAGGCTGATTTTGGAGCTTGACACATGCATATCTCTTGCCAGCGGCCCAAGAGCAGGAAAATACATATTGGCCGCTACCGGGGCCAGGAAAGTCACCATGGAGCAGGTGCATACTGTAAAGATCTTCTCCTTCTCTGATAAGATACTGTACAACGGCTGCGGTGGTTCACTAGGAACGCCGTCTGCAACATCTTCGCACACATCATCGTTGGTAGGAGTAATGGTTTTCGGCTCTGCAGAGTTCATGACCCCTTTTGTCACAATAGCATAACACCCAGGTCCACTGTGGTTTTAATTTTTTGATTTTTTGATTTTTTTTTTCTCTTCTTCTTCTATAAACGTAATTCGGAATTAGCCTTCCGTTTTATAGTGTTCAACCATTGGTGTTGGATTATCCCGACCCCTATGCAAGGGGATGCACTATACAGACCCACACCTTCAGGTCGGAAATGATCTCCCATTGCCTTGCCTTTTTCCACCGAACCCACTCCAGTGGGATGTTACTCTATACCTCTGTAAGGAGGGATGTAGAACCCCTTTTGAGCGGGCACTAGCACATGTCGATCTGATCTTCAATGAAACTTGGAGATTCTTTGGATACATCCTGAAGAAGTAGGTATGAACAGAAATATCACCATGATTCTGTTCATCTTTAGGGTCATAATTCAATAGACAGCTGTATCTGCGAACGCCATAGAATAAGAGACAAACTTTAGTGTAGAGCAGCATGCACACAACTTATGTGTCCGTACTTTTTGTGAACGCTCAAAAGAGACTGAATATGCGAACAAGGTATAGACCTCTAGGATCAGTATAGAGCGAGTTCAGCCCTCCCAGTGGAAGATCACACCCATGCACATTCGATATTGCAAAAAGAACAGCAACAGCTTGAAGCGTAGGGTAGCAAGCAACGATGTATGTGTCAGTGGAATCTTGGATTCTTGGCGAATGCCACCATGGCTATAACTGCAGGACCATTCTCAGATTGGTTGGCCGACAAAGCCACGCGTCGGAACCGAGGCGTTCGAGAGGCAGAGATACGTCTCCTAGCATTAATTCCCTGGTTCCTCACTATGTTCCTTTCCCCAGTCTCCTTTTCTCTCCGGGCTGAGTGTGCACTCGGGTTGTTCGGGCAATACAACCATCGGAAGAGGATGAAGAACGGACCGCATGCTCCCGCATTGTCTACTCGCTAGAGTGTGTCATGTTTAGCAACGTCCCAGTCGCGTTCCGATCTGCCAGATGTAATTCAAGATGCCGTTCTCACTCCGTATCCATTGCGCCACTGGCCTCTGTACTGATAGAATCAGCACACAATTCGTTGGTAGACCCCGAATTGCTCGCTTTCGTTTGATATAAGGAGCCCGGAGGGTAGGTAGCTCAGTACTGTATACTCGAACCGCCACGATACGGAGTACGTGATAGTTCTATTCGAAAGATTGGGATAATGACAGGGACACGTTCTATGCCAGCTGAGAAGAAGTATTGATCAGATGAAACGAAATCGATTGATACTGGCCTGGAGCAGATCTTTCGCAAGAGGACAGATGGATGAGGTGGGTTAACCCGTCCGGCTAAAGGGAAGTCAATGTTACGATACAAGCTGGCTTTCTTTGAATGTCAGGTTAGGAGCACCAGCGTTCCTCTCAATCTACAGTTAACTACTCTCTAATTAGCAGTAGATTCTACAGGTTCCGCAGACGTAGGAATGGAAGGGGCGATGGGCCAGAGGGTAGTTGCCGTATACGCGCTTTTATTACATCTCCGAAAATGGCTTCAACAACATCGCACCAGAAGTCCTAGCAGCATATCTGAACTTAACAATGTTGATATGATAGCCTCAGGAATTCAGGCCTAGGGTTGGGCGTTTGGTACCGAGTGATGCACTGCCACTGATGGTGATGTTATTATGACCGATATATGTCGTCTTGGGTTCTTGGGCTCTTCCCACCCCCCCCAAGCCAACTTCACTTCTGAACTCTTCTCTGTACATAGCCTCAACCAAAGCCATCTCACTAAAAAGCCTCTCTCAGTAAAGAAAGCGCTTCTCACCATCACACTCTCACAAGAAAGACACCTCTACTCCACAAACCAACGCTATAACAATGAACACCTTCATTGTATTCGTCCTCTGCCTCCTGGCAGTCCAAATGCAGGGCTGCCAGGCCCTGCCAATCGGTGTCAACCACGGGGCACACATACCCTCTGCGCCCATCGGGGCTGCTCTTGGCCTAGGCCTCGGCTAGGTGTTCCTTTGGCGGTGTTGGGGGGTTCCTCATACATCGCCTAATCCGCGACATCCGATTCCGGCACCAGAGACAAGAATGGCGTCGGAAGATGGCCGTTGCCATACGGTCCCAGCAGGACAAAGAAGCTGCTGAGACCTGTCTTCCCGCGTTTGGGGGTGGCTTGGGGATCACCTGGCCACCAGTCTGGTAAGCTAACCTTCTCTAAGATTAGGGCTAAGAGAACAGACCTTCTAACAGACGTTTATAGTCACGTCAAGGACAGCTCGCCGCCCCAACCCCGGCGACAAGCTTGTCGACAATCTTCGAGGAGGATGAATCCTTCTAGTCCCCTTCTGTGGGACAGTACAACGTCCGGCTGGGGAGGGAGGAGGGAGGAGGAGGGATATGAATGACTTGGTCTTTTTTTTTTCGTACTTCTTTTTGTTGTATATGTTTTTGTACATGTTTTTGTTTTTGCTTTTTTTGTTTTGTACTTTGTTCTTTTTTTGTTCATGTTTTGATAGATAGAGATACCCAGACTCTGCCAAGCAGAGTCGTTATTACTAGTAGATAATAGACAATAGACCCTTCTGAGGATTCAATCCGAGAAACCACAAGAACTTACCCGATCACACGGAGCTGGACTTGGCTATAGGATGAAGCCAGGATAGTCTTAGGCAGAGGAGGTAGCAAGGTTTTTATCCTTTTATAAGTATATTAGACTATGAGGGTGTCTATAAGAATCAGCGTGGATATAGTTTTAACGATGGGAACTATATAGGGTATAGTATAGGGGTTATCCTAGCCTTGACGGTACCTTCTTTAATACTGTAAGAGATAGTTGGCAGAGCTCGAGTCTCGATTAGTGCCGGTGGTACTGGCGCATACCACCTTCGGCAAGCATACTGGTGGATATAGCCTAATTTGACGTCTGACAACGATACGACAGCGTCGGGGAGCAGCAATCATGCTACGGGTGTAGGTAATGAGCCTCGGATAACCTAGAGAGGCAGTCAGCAAGCAAATTCAATGGGGAAAGCCGGCCAGATATGATGCATGTACGACAAACCTGTTGTGCTAGCCGTCACCAAAGGAGACGCAAGAACCATCTACCACGGCCCAGTTGCCAGCAATTGATATTCCTCTTCCCTCGATGTGTCCAGCTGCATACCACTTTCTAGATCTTGGCACCTGCAGCAGCAAGGATAGCATACCGAAAGTTCTTAGGGTCCGCGTAAGTCACACATTGGAACGGCTCCGATGTTTCAGGCAGATGTTTCACTCAACCACCGGGGGTAGTGTGGTGGTCTGTGCCAATGTGATTGAAGTCCTCGAGTTGTACGATGTAGAGTAAATAAATAAGAGACCTGTTTATATAGAGCTTGTCGATCGGTCCTTATCTCTACGATGATATATGTATCTCAATGTAAGACCCATCGGACAACCCTAAATGAGCCAAGTGCAATCACATGACCACGCGTCACGCGCCGCGACGGATCTCCCGCGATCATCAGAGCGAAATGATTAACCCCATCGATCAAATCAATATCATCCACTGCACGCCTTTCTCTCCGCCTCATCATTCGATACAACCGCAGTCCCTCCCACAGACAAACAAGACATCACTTCCACCCCCACCAAACCAACCAAAAGAGAAAAGAAAAAGAAGAGAACATGTCGCTCCAAACACCCCGCGTCCTCCCCGCCCACCTCCACGCCTTCCACCCCTCCAACGCAAACCCCCACGTCACAAGCACTGTCCGTCTTCTGGGCACAGTAACGGCGCTCCGCGGCGACACGGCAACCATCACGTGCGGAGATAACGGAGACGTGACACTGATCTTGAAGCCCGATTCGCATCTGCAGATGGGCAAGTTAGTCGAGGTTGTTGGGAAGGTGACTGATGTTGAGGGGCAGGTGAGACTTCGACATCCCGAGTTCTATTTCTTTCAAATCATACGGACTATGGCCGGGGGTGAGGTAGGATTTCATGCTGACAGATGGGTTGAACAGGGTCTTGGGGTGAGGGTGTTGGGCAGCTTTGATTGGGGAAATCCCTCTGATTGCGGTATGTGGTTCGCCCTTCCTTTCTTTCTTGTTGGTCTACGTTTCTTTGGTGTTGTTGTTAGGAGCTTGGTGCTGGGAAGAATTATGTGGGGAGCTCGGGCTGATGGTGGTTCTTGGACAGATTATAAAATATATGAGAATGTTGTCAATGCGACACATCGGTTCAAGTCGCTTTTCTACGAGGCGGCTGAATAAGCTATTCTTTGCTATGTTTCATTAATCTTGTTTCTCTTTGATACCAGGGTGCATATGTTTAAGACTTTTCTTTAGACATAGGGGGAAGCATATGGCGATGCAATAAAATAGTGGCCTGAGAAGGACGTCGAATGTTAATTATGCTACCATGCTCCTACCTTATGGCTATCTTTGTTCCGTCTAGGATAGTACAGTTAGGATTGTATATTGGGATTGTTAGTTGGTAGAATCCGGCTACATCTACTTCGGGAATAGGAAAGGTTGCTTCTTTCTTTGATTGATTTTGTATTTGTTATTGTTCTTGTTATCGAATTCAAGACGAGTCAACTCGTCCTCGATGTTGAGATATAGTGATAGTAAAGTGTCGGCGGCACACTCGGTAGCGCCTGATGCAGGCTAATCATGACTTGAACATGAAAAGGAGACTAAAAGACAGGACAATCCCAAGGCCAACGGTGTATCCTTGGTACAGGTTCCAATCCACCAACGCCGTCGCTTGAAAAAAAAAAAACACATCAAAAAGAACACAGAAAGAAAAGGAAAAATGCCAAAGAAAGTCTCGGATGCTCATCACAACAATAGGGTAACAATAAGATTATAATCAAAGAAACTCATGAAGCATTAGGCGTATTGTGTTGTGCTTGTTCTTTGTGGCTCGATCCCTCGGCCGACTTAGCGGCCATGACGTCGGTATCGAGGGCATCGGAACTGAAAAATCCAGAATCAAGGATATTCGAATCAAGATTGAAGATATCAAAATGGTTTTCTTTATGAAGGTCTGGGTTGGACAGAAGCGCGTTGATGAGATTACCAGAATCATCATCTCCGTTGTTCTGCTCTTCCTCAGATCCATTGGGCGAGACGTAGTCCGACGGCAGCCAATCCGGCCAGTTGCTACTGGACGGACATTTGCTTGGATCAAAGCCGAACAAGGTGTCAGCGTTCGTGGCAGAAGCCGCATCAGAGAAGATGTCCACGATCACTTTATCCATGCCGTCGAATGCATCCGCACTGAAGGCATCGTTGGGAAGAGAGGGCAAGTCAGGCATGTGAAGGCGCGTCTGCTTGGGAGTTTTACCCTGGCGTGGCGTTGATCCAGGGCTATTTTGAATGCGCTGGAGCCGTTGCGCGGTAAGCTTCGTGGGGGTCGTGTTGATGTCCTTCCGTATTTTAGACGACGAAGGTGAGTGACCCGGAAACGAAAGCGATTTTTCACCCAAGAGGCCGGTGCGAGGATTGCGTCGCCTTGGAGTAGGGCTCGTAGGCAGCTCTAGCTCAAAGCTCGGGCTCTCAAAGAGACAGTCTAGGTCAGAAGTGCCATTCTCTTTGTCCTGAGGTTGCTTGGTAGACTCGTGAGAAGCTACGCGAGGGCTACGGCGTGGGCTGTTTAGAACCGACTCGCCTAGAGCTTTCAGAGGGCCGCCCTCAGCCTGCGAATTAGGAAACAGAACTCTCCGTACGGATTTGGGAGTAAGACTATTCTCACCCGCCGTGGCAGAATTACGACTTTCGAGATTCCTAGCAGGACTGGACTGGATAGCTCGCCTGAGGGCCTCGATCGCATTCTCCTCTTGCCAACGACTTCCTGCAGTGTCCGATGACTTCCGGGGCTCCAAGCTGGTTGCGCGCCGCCGCTTGGACGGGGGGTCCTGGGAATCATCCTCGTTCTCGTTCTCGTTCTCGTTCTCATTATTGTTGTTATCACGAGGGGTTATGCCGTCTTCTGCTGCCGGCGATGAGGCATCGGATGCGACGGGTGAGGAACCATCCATTTTCGTCAATTCGGCTCGGCTTCGGCTCCTGGTTGCAGCACCATTGGTTGAAAGGGGGCCACCTCCCCTGCGATTCCTAGGGGGACGCTTCCTCTTGCCATTTGAAGACTTGTTCCATTTGTTCTCTGGTCGCATGGATTTGAACTTGTGAAGCCAAAGGCCGCATGCTTTTTTTCATGTCAGTATCAAGAGCGCAAATCAGTTAGCATATCTTCATCACTTACGGTTGCAAAGAAGGACTTGAGCAAAGTCATTATCAGCATCAGCGAGACTCTTCTTGTAGATCTTAAATTTGGTAACTTTGTCTTGATCATCCCGCTCCAGAGACTGCCAAAACAACATGCCCGAATCCTTCTTCATTACATCGGCCTCATGCTCATTCCCAATGATTTCCTTGGACCAGGCCCTACGCCATGTGGGTGTTTCGATCGCACCACAGTTCTCACAGTAAGGAGGAACCTGCCCATCGCGAATGCATTTATCAAGGCGTGCCTGAACCTGTCTTAATCTTCTCGCACCCGCCCCACTGCGGACTTTGCCGTCCTCCGCTACTCGTTGCGGAGCAGGAGTCTCTGCAGCGGTGAAATCACTCATTGGGCCAGCTGCCCAAGCGGTATTCTGGCCTTGAGGTTGCGATGGCATGACGGGGTCACTTGCGGGAATTGCGCTTATCAGCTGCTCTATTTCACTCTGGGACATAGGAGCAGGGGCCAGAGGCTTAGGAGCCTGTCTAAAGCTTGCGCGTGAAGAGGGCCTCGAGCCCGCGGCGCTAGCTGGTGCACGGGGAGGTACAGGTGCTGATTCCTTCGCAGGCTGTCCTTGTGACTCATCGCCAACAAGGGCATTCTCATTTCGGGTCTCCTGATTCAGGCGAGCGCCAACAGGTGAACTGGCCTGCACTGCCGAGTGGTCTCTCCGCTTCTCATTGGCAGGATCGTTCGTCACAGGCCTTGTGTAATCTTCTAACGGTGTGCCGATGTCTTCATCTAAAAGCTCTTCTACGCCACCACTCATGAATCCAGAATCAGGATCCGTGACCATAGGTGGGAGAACTGGGCTGGAGCGGGTTGGGAAGCTGCAGTCCAAGACCGGGGGCGAGGATGGCATGCTGAATGAAGGCTCGAAAAGACCTTGGTAGCGAGACTCTTCTGGGGAGTGCGTGTTAAATTCAATAGGAGTCTGGTCATCGCTGGTGTTATACGGAGACTCGTAGTGGTTGCTCTGGACGGACGATTCACGCAGAAGGCTCGGCATGGTGCGTGCCCGACGAGGGAGGCCATTCATGTTGGAGATAGGGGTGGGTGGCCGAACCGGTTCTTCATGGGAGTTCTGCGCAGCAGCAATGGCAGGGTTGATTGGCGTGGGGCGGTGGATACGAACAGAAGCAGCTGTACTTGCCGCTACCCGCAGGGAGCTGGGCTGCCTCTCGATGTTGAAGTCCGACTTCCCAGGCCATTCCGCTCGATACAGCTTGGCTCGTTTTCGCGGTTGGGACTCTCCGGATTCCTCGCAGCTACCGTAGCCCGATTGAATAGATCCCCTGCGACTGGCATACCGAGATTGAATAGCAAAATCTGAATCACGCATAGAAGCGCTAGAAGATGGACGAATGATATCACTCTGCGCGCGGTCCAAACAGGGTTGGTGTGACTGTTGCTGTGTCGGCTGAGAAAGTTGCTCCTGCTGATATTGTGATCGTTGGCCCCCAGGGGTGGATACTCTGCTTCCAGCTGCCAAAGCGGACTGTGAAGGTGATACAGATCGATATGGCCCGTTTGCAGAGACAGGCGGAAATTCCCTTGGCGTCGAGCCTTCGCTAAGCAATTGATGAAAACGCTCAATTCCGGAGTGGTCCATGGGCGATTCCGTCCGTTCCGGTTGCTGGGTGATAGAGGGGGTCATTAAACCCGGGTTTTGGCGCAAGAAATTGGTCCACGCTTGCGCATCGAATTCGTGAGGGATAACGGTGCTCAACTCCCGATACTTCCGCATGCTTTCCAAGTATTCACTCTGCATGACCGTAGGAACGGGTACCAACCGCAACTTCACCTCCAATGTCTCCTGAGCACCCTTCGAGAACAATCCCAGCACATTTTTGCAAACACGACCAGTGACCATGGTCTCGGATTGATGGGCCGGGGCATTTGGCGTGGGAGAAGCCGAAGCAAGAACCCATGATAACATTCCCTGTCCAACCAAAGGCGTCTCATATTCCGAGTAATCGTAGGCATAAACGGTGTAATCTTGCCCCAGTTTCGCAACCAATTCAGGGCTGCAATCAGACAAATAACAATGAGTAAAAATCTTGATGACTGGAATTGAATCAACTAACCTGGCAGAGACAATGGCTTGGATGCAAGTTTTCAGCTCGATAACCCCAATTTGTGTCTTCTCGTCCAGGGCAGCAGTCTGGACATCAAGAAGATGAGGCCACCGGGCTAGGCAATTTGTCTTGCTGGCATCGTCAAATGTGTAAAGCACCTTCACTATTGAATTGGAGCACAATGGTTAGTATCCACGGTGGAATTGAGCTGGAAGGGGAAGCTCACGCCTCATAGGCCGGACGGAAATTCCGTCCTGAGATTCCATGCCACCAACTTGAGAGGAATAACCATAAGCAAGCTAGAGAGGAAGTACCCAAATAAGAATATGTCAGAACGAGGTGAAAGTTTGTTAAAGAAGCGGACCGCGGGTTGAATCAGCAGGGTAGGAATGTCGAAGCGTGACAAAGTTTTCAAAGGAGGGTTGAATAGGATGAAAGCAATGTAGAGTCCGATCCGTGCCAGTTGCTTATCGACTCGTCAAGCCTATGTAATCGGAGGCTGCGTCGACCGGGAGAATGCACCGGTATGTAAAGAATCAGGATAGCGGGGTGGAATGATCTCTGGAATGCGGACGTGGGACTGAAGAAAGGGATGAAGGGACATGCGGTGAGTGTCCTTAATAAGAAGAGGGGTGAGGAGATTCCAGGGATGTTCGGTTCCGACTTGGAAAGTGACTGCGAGTCGTGAAGTAGGGGCGAGGAATTAGTGAGAGGTTGGAGAGGGAAAAGAAAAGACGCCTTGCATTTGAATGTCGAGAAGCTTTCAAGATCGCCGACATGAACCGTGTCGGACGCGACGTGACGCAGCCAATCGCGAACTGGGAAAAAAGCTCTGTCGCAAACACGGCAAACACGCGCGACACGTGATCCGCGACCCGCGCCAAGACGCCGGAAGAGTCCAAGAC